TAGATGTACAGGAAGGATTATTAACAGTCACCATCGTCGAACGGCCGTCTACGATCGAGTGCGCGCCAACGAACCGGTTTCCAGCTATAATATAATAATGGCCCACCACGGCACTACCATAACATAATATTATACTACCGACCCCACACGCCGGTCCGGTACAGTCGGATTTTGTTGCAACTTGTGCTATACACTGTTATACCCTATAATATAATATATTATATACAAGGAAGCCGGGTGTAAGCAACGAAGCTTTTCTTAAACAATGCATTCGAGACAGTTACACCTGTGTAGTGTGTTATGGTTACCTGTGTAACGGTGTGCCACGCATAGGCGGACTTATAATTTGATTTTTGTCGGGTGCATCTAGTACAATTTTTAAACATTATTTAAATTTTGTCTTTTGAAAGCACTTTTTAAGGTTGAGGCCTATTGCAACTATTGACAGTTTACCGAAAATTGAAGAGAGAACTAAATTTACTTATTATTAGGTATTAATTTAGGGGGGAATAATACCCCCTGTGCCACCTGTGAACATCAATAAGTCCACCAATACAGCCGAGAAACGTAGATAGAATATTACATGCTGTATCATGTACCTGATAAACCAGTACACGGGCATAATAGAGGTACATATAATGGTACATTTTAAAAATAGGTAAGTATCTCATTGAAAACCCCACCAACCGCTTCCCCGAGTCAGCGTGAAGACATCGCGTTTGAACTTTAACATTTTTAAGTCACGAATTGAAATGTTCAAATTTTTAACGGGTCTACCCGCCACTGTTGTTATAGTATGATATTAGTGGTACGGTTCGAATGAAATAATCTAAGTACACGCTCGCAAACGTTAAAAAATCACGGCGCTTAAAATAAAACATGAGTCACGGTTTTATTTTTTCGTCGCCTATGATGATAATAATGTTATTATGGGCGATTATTTTATTAAAATATTACTATTAATTATTACAGTACAATATTATAATATTTTTCGTCGAGTGTACAAGTTTTATAAATTGCGAACAACGTCGTAGACGACGACAGCGGTGGCGACGGGTACTAAACGCAAGGCGTTTTTTTTTTTATCTCCGAAGGAAATGCCTACTCGAATAACGGATTATAATATTAAATGTACATGTAATTTTTTATTAATATAATAATTACTATACGATAAAGCTTTTTATGATTTTTGTGTGTATAATGAAAAGGCGGTGGCTTTAAGATGAGATAAGGTTCCACATTGAAGGTCGGCCGCTTATCAAACCGCTCGCACGCCGAACAATAAGATGCCATTTTTATTTATCGTCACATTGTGTACTATTATTGTTGTTATTATTATATATTTTATTATTATTGTATGTGTGTCGTTTTGTGTTGTCGTATACGTAAAAAAAATAAAAAAATAAAAAAACAACTGATTAAACGGAGAGCACACGAGTGTTATTTATATTCGCGTCGCCCAAAGACCGTGGGAACGGTAAGACGCGACGGTGGCGACGACGTCGTCGACGGCGGTAGAAACGCCGCCGCCTCACGACGTGCGACGCAATGGAAGAAGACCGACTGAGAGTGAGAGAGAAAGAGTTAGAGAGGCTGTATAATGTGAGTGAGCGGGGGTGAGACGCGGGAAAAGCAGATCGACGAGCGTGTGAGAGAGAAGATTCGGCTCGAACCGCCGTCAATAGGGTCCGATTGTTAGCGAGACAATATTTACGAGCTCGAAATGTTGACTGTGTGAGCACGTCAATGATAATTGATAACCGCGGCGCGCGCCTGTGTGTGTGTGTGTGTGTGTGTGTGTGTGTTTGTGTTTGTGTGTGTGTGTGTGTGTGTGTCTGAGCGACTGTTTTGCCGAGTCGATTTACGTATTGGGTAGCATCTTAAAATATATTTTTCGTCGTCTATATATATTATTATATGTACGTCTAGCTGCTGTAGCATTGGCCATTGTATGCGGCCGTCGCCGTCGTTGATAGCAGCCTCGTTCAGGCCGGCCAAAGGGATTCGGCCTAACTGATGGGGTTATAGGAATCACGATTTCCTCCCTCGACAAATTCGATTTTCATTAAAATATTGTGTTCAACAATGTCCAACTTGTATGTCCAACAAATGTCCATACAAACTGCAATTTATTATAGAGTCAATAATATTTTAAATTAAAATCCTCGAGCTTATTATACTTTGCATACACCCATATATTATGTGATTTCGAAAGTATAGTGAATCGTTATGCATTGAAGGTATATAAGACTTTCTAAACCGCTTCTAAGACCAGCTTTAAGGGTGTACGATACGAAGAGATAGCAACGTTCAACAGGGTACAATTATTATGATACACATCACAGTCTAATAAAGTGTCCGAAAACATAGACATTGGGACGGGAATAGTGTATTAATATGGAATCCTGCTGTTGTTACAATATAATTTGCGTGTGAATCATCACACTTTGGCGGAGAGAATGCCCTTGTCGAAATATTTATAATACTCCTATTACGATTTATACTTTATGAGGTGTATTATATTATACAGTGGCGCGTAAACTAGGGGTCACAAGGGGGGTCTCAGATAAGTGGCAAATCTCCCGCGGGCCTGAGATATTTTGAAAACTCTTGCAACCCTGAAAATTTGGTTCAACTTACGCCACTGATGTCTAACATTATATATTGACTGCGTTACTTATATGGGCCATAAGTGCAGATACAAGTATAGACGGTTATTAAAATGTATGTATAGTCCATGTCCGACCCAGGCAATCGATCGTCTTCACCTGCTTCATTATGTTGCATGTGTAAAATTATACACATTATAGGTGATTATTAAATCACGCAGTGTTGACGGCGGCTCAGCACAACAGAGCTGGTCCGAAAAGCTTACCGCTGTGTCGGTCTGTGGCCAAATTTATTCACCGGCCCCGACTTGTGCACCTGCATATCATCATGAAAATATGCGTGGATAATAATAAAGCGGATAAAATAAATATAGGCTCGTCTGTACTTTGGATTTATTCACGCAATATTGTAGTCGTCGACGACGACGACGACGACGACGCTTGTATACCTATACCATCATTTTATATGTAAGTAATATAAGATTGTATGAAACTCGCGCTCGTCCGTTTCGTCGGGTCGTGTGGGCGTCGCTTTTGAGCTGCAATATCAGACGCGTCGGCAATAATAAATACTATCGGAAACTCGTAATTCATAACAATATTATATTATTATATTATTATTTAGCTGCTGCAGGTTAGTCGCGGTATTATTGTAATGTATACGCCGCTTGCCAATGCCCGGTCAGTGCGCCTGTACGATATTTCGTATATATATGTAGTGGTTGATGTATATATGTATCATACAAAACTATAATACGTAATACATAACAGTATTATGTCTGTGTATGCACTGCACAGATACCTGCGAGTAATTATTATCGTCTCAGAGTTCAGAAGACGGCAATAATTCGGAATGTCTATGTATGCGTATTGCATACCTATGTGTTCTTAAAAATAATACGCTGTTTTTGCCGTGCAGCAAGTACACCGCAGCAGTGTAAATAGCTGGTGTACTACGTATACTGCTACTTTATTATGATGTACAACCGGCGCCTGTGTATTATATAATATAATATTATGATAATATTATGATGTATGTACGTGTATTATTATTATTATTATTATTATTATTATTATACATGATGTATGAGTGTATCGTTTTTCCGTCGGCGCGCGATTGTATCAAAATATAAACTTGCTTGGCGCGTATTATACATTTTTTTTTTTTTATCAGAAAGTATACATCGCGGTGAATGCACGACGGGTGTTAAAATGCCGCCGCGATATTGTGTTGATATTGCACTGTGGACGATCGTAGATTTGTATGCGTATCACAACAATGATGACTTTTTTTGGCCGGAAAACTTCACAATCATATCAAATAATCGTTTTTCAAACACATTTTCGGGAAACCGACGGTCGAGCCGACTACTGAAATCTCGTCTTCCGCCCGCGCCAGTTCTCGTGTCTTTAAACTTAAACATTAAAATGGTGACTAATTTCGAACGCTCGTGTTATACTCACACACTATTAGTTAGGTATTTTTAAGTACCTTCTATAGGTCAAGTATCCATTCAAATCTGAATAACGTTTTTATCTTGCAGTTATTTGTTTTTGCAGCCTTGCAAAGTCAATGGCCACTGCGTGTACCTATATCTAATTAATTGTATTATATTATAATAAATAATAATAATTTAGGCATCGGTATGCATTTGATTTATATACTTATGTGTACACACAAATTAAGTATTGATGTGCATCTCGTTATTTCAAAGAAATTCGTCGATCGATATTGAATACATCATACATATACGAGTATAGTTATACAAAGAATTAATATATACTTAATTTATTATTCAAGAGTCCGATAATTGTATTTGGGCTGTGATATATTATTATTATAGTGAGTTGTGACTAATCCGCCGTCAGCATTAAACAAGCTTGTTTGATATTTATTTTATGCGAGTATTATAGCAGGCACTTATAAATTCATTATCTGCACCCCTCGGAAATAATTATCTCCTATATTTATGTAATATGTGACGTGTTCAAATAATCAAAAGTTTATTTTTCGAAACAGTCCTTTAAGTCTTGCAGATTTCACGTTGATAGAAAAACTCGGTGGTTGGTGTCGTGAAAGAACTACCATGCGTAGTAAAAAAAAAACGCCACTATAGTTACTATCACACTATCTAATCATTCACTCACTATCATGCATGCATGATAGTTTCTTTCACGACAGCAAGTATCATCGTGTGACTGCGGCTTTATGTATTGGCACAGACACTTGTAGTACCTATAAGTCAAATCCCTTTCCAGCACTATACAGCCATTATATAACCATAAATCAACCGTGAATCAACCCATACGACATAATATTTTAATATTAATATACTGTTCTCGTTTCGTAACGAAAATGTCTAAACTTGAATTTTTTTGTTTTTGCTATAGTCACCTCACCAGAACGACTCAATGGGAAGATCCAAGAAAGAGCTTGGCTGCTCAGGCGGCGAACCAACACCAGCGCAGCGCCGAACAACTGCTAAGTCCCGGCAACGACAGTGGATCGAGCACAAACGCTACCAGCACTCCTACGAACTCGCCTCCGCACATTCATTCAACCCTCCAAGGTGAGTTAAAATTTTCATTTACAATGTTTTTTTTGTCATATCGCAATAATTATATTGAAATATTATATTATTTACTCATAGTATATCGTGTTATAAGTAGGTACTTATAACGTGTAGTGCCATGAGTCACATTTATGACCTATATTTATGCGTCTACATATTATGTGCGCCGTACGGTCGTCGCTAAGGTGACCTGGGAGCTCAAACAAAAACGACCCAGCTCAATTTTAGTCGAATTTTAACCCCTTACGTTTTGGTTCTTGTATATATTATAGGAGCGAACAAAAACGTGACACTAGGACCGCTGCCCGACGGATGGGAACAAGCCGTCACCGGTGACGGCGAGACTTACTTCATAAACCACATTGCCAGGACCACGTCGTGGTTCGATCCGAGAATACGTAAGTGTTACTTAATTATTTTATTACCTATAGTTTGAAAGAGTACACGGGTATAGATCGTTTAGGCGAGTGTTTGTTTCTCCAAAAATACTGTTTAAGTATAAGGTGAATAAATATTAAATATGAATATAATATATTTTTATAGATAAATTGATGTATATAATGTGATGTAGGTATACCTAGTAATTACGAAAACGATTCTGAGCGGAAAAATTGTGTTATCATATAGCATACATAAATAAACAAATTTAATAATAAAAAAAACGTAATACAAATTGAATATATCTCGTGACTTTAAATAGCGTAACTGTCCGGTGAACTTATTTTTTTTAATAAAGTTAGAAAACTTATTGGGAATCTTCTATTCAGATTTCTAACGTTGTAGCTATGAAAAAGAAGAAACATTTATGAATTTCTTACTGAAAAATTATTTACAAAATTAGAAAAATGTCCTGTGGCTATAAACAAAGCAAAAACATATTTTTAAAATATTACCATATATATAAAATTCTAATATAAATATTTGTTGAGAAGATTTCAAGTGCTTACGGTTATTAGTTTTTAAGTTACAACAAAAAATAAAATCAAAAATTCAAGAATTCATTGTAAATATTATGTACATTTATTCGCTACGCTCAGAATCTAAAATAATAATTAATACTGAACTTTAACTTTAAAAATATGTTGATCTAGTTATATTGTATTGTATATAATACAGTCATAAATTAAAAAAATAAAATCACATGGTCCATATCGGCCACGCTTGGTAAAAATTAATAAACCTACCGAAACGACCACTGCCCGTGCACACTCGCTACAACAATTCATACAGGTACTTATACCATATGTGCATATTTATTATTATGTTCGTGTTTACAGCCGTTCATTTACAAAGAGCGCCAACGTCGGGCGCCGTGCTGCCTTCCGGTTCTGCGTCGTGGCTGTTAAACGGCGCTTCCGGTCTGTCGCAGTCGCTCCAAGTCACCCAGCAAAAGCTCAGGTTACATTCACTTCAGTTAGAGCGCGAACGTCTGAAGAGTCGCCAACAGGAAATCATTCGTCAGGTAAGAAACAGCTATTATAATACATGGGCGCATACTAGTCGCCTTCCTAAGTCAAAAAGGTCAATAATTTTTACAGGTATTGCCTCCCGACTATTTACGAGTTGCCTCCCTGACGTACCCTAAATTTTAACGTAAACGTAAAGGGTCTAATACTAGAAGTCTTACATAGCTTAATAATAAATATAAGCACCTAATCCATAATACTTATACACATCTTAGTTTTATATTTGTGTAGGAACTAACACGTGTATTTTTTTACCTGCTAACACTTACATTCGCCCGTACTAGTTGCCTCCCAATAGGCTGGTAAAAAATGTATAAGTGGTCTAAACATTTAAAAAATTTAAATCTAAGCATTGCGTTATAACAAATACTTTTTTACTAACCATATATATTTTTTTATTGACTAATTATAGGTACTACCGCCTGTTTTTTATTGACTGATTATATTATTATTTTTGTAATTGTTACTTTATTATTACTATCTGATCATCGGAGGCAACTAGTGTATATTAACCTTTTTATTTTCGATAAGGATGGGAGGCAGTTCGTATTTTTTGGGAGGCAACTAGCATACGCCGTAATACCTGTATAGTGTGATAGTCTATAATATAATATCTGATAGCACACGTGACCCAGAGACTTGCCCCAATCAGACCTAAATCATTAGTTGGTGAAGGGGGAGTGCTAACATATTGCAGGTACATTGATTAAAGAAAACACATATTCTCAGTGCTCACCCTTTCGTCCAATATCACTGTACATTTATCGAAATTATAATTTTTAGGTTAGGCATAAAGGTCATATTTTCGAATAGATTTTTCTGTGCCATTTAAAGAGTAGATGAGTCTTGTGGTGATACAGACTTCTGTTTCTTGGGTACTAATTTTAGTGTTGCTTATAGTGGTCTCTATAGGCTATATTGGAGGCGCCTTTTCCGATGTGAGACGACGTGCAGTAACGGCGTAATTGCGTCGGGAAACGATTGATTCAATCGGCGTTTAAAATATTATCGCGCTGTCATGTTATTATAATGTATTGAAATATGTACGTATATGTTTTTGTGTGCGCAGCAAGATCTGATGTTGCGATCGGGTCAGACGAACAACGACCTCGACCCGTTCCTATCGTGCAGCAGCAGTAGCGTAGATCATTCGCGGCAAGAATCGGCCGACAGTGGCTTGGGCCTGGGAAACAACTACTCGCTGCCGCACACTCCCGAAGACTTTTTGTCGTCAAACATGGACGACAACATGGACTGTACTTCAGGTAAGGACTAAAGACTTTTTTTCGTGTAATACATGTATAGGTTTTCGATAAGTCATTGTTGTTGCTGTTATTATTACAACAATTTCGTAACCTGACCTAACGGTATTTTTTTTTTATTAATTTTGTTTCGTTTTCCTTTGTTCCCGCACCTGTGGTGTACAGAGAGCGATAATCCGGGTCCTTCGTCCGACATGTCGGTAGTCGATCCACAGGAAATGTCCACGTTGGATGTCACCGACGACTTAGTCCCGTCGCTTCAAGTAAATACAATCAACTTATTTTTAGAATTATATAGAATTGAAATAATGATATAGAGAACACGCCTGATCAGTTCTGGCCAAACTCACATGCAGTGCCATTGTATGGTTATTTATTATGATATTTTTCTTTCTGTTTTCTAGTTAGGGGACGAATTTGGTAACGACATACTGGACGAAGTACAATTGTTGATCGACCCGAACAATAAACCAGGATCGATTTTGACTTGGCTTTAAAAACGTCTCGCACATTAACTGTTTTTATAAGTTTTTTTTTTTTTTTAATGTCACCCTCATTAAGAAGTTTAAAAATGATACATGAATATATATTTATTTATGTATGTGTGTGTGTGTGTGTGTGTGTGTGTGTGTGTGTGTGTGTGTGTGTATGTGTGGACAAGATATGTTTGTCATATTAACCTAGTCTAAAAATTATGGACCTATGTATGTGTGTCGTATGACGTGTGAAAATTGATATATGACGTTACACTATATTATTATATTAATATAATATACAGCATATCGCTCCGGCACGGCGGTGTTTTAGCGCGTATGTCACGTAACCGATTATCGATTGTTCCGATTTAGGTTTATATAGATTGTAATAAATATTATTGTTATCAAAAACCAATGCGCGTAAGCACCGGTAAATCGGATTATTTAATAAAAACAAAACTAGTTGTAGATTGAAATTTTAATTTCGAAACGTCGTCGTGGTTGAAAGCACCGCCGCTCCATCCCCATGCGAAATAAGCATTTAAACGAATTATTTTATCACCTCGGGGTTTATAATAACGAAAGTTTCAGTACATTTTTATTTTCATTTACTGCCAAAATTGAAAGTGTTAGATTTTACAGGGTATATGTTATTTTTTTTAGTTCAAATATACATAATATAAGGCAGTATACTGCATATATTGAACATTTGTATTCAGTGCTTGAGTTGGAAAAAAAATTAGAAGGCGGATGCAAAGTGTAAAGAAAAATGTGCGTACCTAAATGTTTTATTGATTATAAATTAAAATTATAAGGGTATCCATAAATATTTTTTAAAAAGAACAGCCCCTCCCTCAATTCGAGCACTGTTTGTATTTATGAATTATCTTTTCACTTTACATATATTATACTCATGCAAGGTAATTATTTTAGTGTGAATTTGTCAACATCTCTAGAAAAGTAGGCACAACATTACTGCTGCAGGTACTTCACACAAGTCTCTTAAACGTTCAACCGTATTCCTACATTTTCAGTGTCCATATAAGCTTTTATAACTGGCAAATGGTAACATATAAAATACTCGACTCCATCATCCGTCTATAATTTTTACCGAACTTATGTTACTATAATTTACATGCCCATAGATTAAATACAAATACATTGAAATTGACATTTTTAGATCCATATTGAATGATTTACGTTAAAATAATTACCCTGCGTCTATACGTGTATGTTTATAAATAATTTTTTTCATTTAAATCACTGTGACAAATTGTGTGTGTGCGTGTGTGTGTGTGTGTGTGTGTGTGTGTGTGTGTGTATTTGCGTTTAGATAACGCCAATTATTATTAAGATAAGATTTATTCGTACTGATCAAAACAACGAGTGCCTTAAAAAACTTAAGCAATATTTATGTAACCGTCCTTATTTGTTGAATATATGTTGAATGCGCGGAAACGTTTTATTTATCTTGTTGACAGTATTAAGTTTATATTATTATGTATTTTTGTTCTCATGATAAATTTTTAAATTATAGAGTTGAAAATGACAATCGTACTTAAGTCCTCGCTACGAGCGTATTCATCCACCTAGAGTGGAGCGCCATTCGGAAGCGAGTTATCACCCCCTCCCCTGGCCACCTTCACTTTTACAATAGCACACTTAAATTTGTTCGTATAAAATTTATTCTCGTGCTTCATGAATCATATTGTAATAGTGTAGCTGTTTAGGTAGGAAATGATGTTATTATTACGATTAAACTGTAAATAATAATATTAATTATAAAAATAATTATAATAAGATTGAAAAAACAACAACAAAAACTGTCATCAGGCATGGGCTAGATGTGAAGTTGTTGTTAATAATATAATTTTGTATGGTTATAGATATATAGTATATATAAACATTTATTCAAATATTACGTTTAGTTAAATTTGCTCAACTGTGAAGTTGGAATATTATTTCGATTATCTATATTAAAGCTGTACTTCTTTTACGTGTTAAGTTTAAATTAATTGTACATTATTCATGATGTATTTCAAAAATCTATAATTAAGTGATAATGTAAGTAAAAAAAAAAAAATAGTGCTTTGGAATTATATACTTAGTTGATTATTAATATTGTTCTTTTGACATTGTTTAAATGAAATGAATTATTGTAGGTGTTTTTTACTAACTCTAAAATTTACGTTTTAATTTTAAAACATTTATTAATAATATTAAGACTGTTTGTTCTTTATATAAATTATTATATCGATTGTGTCGTATATTATGTACATTTATTATTAGTAGTTGTAAAATTGTATGTAAATGTGTGTGCAATCCAGCTCTATATTTATCGAATTAAAAAAAAAAATCCGGAGGCGATGAGGAACCATCATATTGATATTTGTATTAAATATGTACAAAAATATAATCATATAATAATATGTAGGTACCAGCGATGAAAAAAACACTTCGCCTAACCTCGAATATATCGTTTTAGCAATATGCCTACTAAATATATTATTATTATTGTATAATATATTAGGTACTATGTTTGTGCCCAAAATATACTGAATACTTTGCACCTCTGCATCTCTTAGTCTAACTTATAATGTATATTATAAATATATATAAATAATATTTACGTTGGAGAATTATGTGCCTATTTTTGTAATGTTAAACAAATTTATATAATATATATTATAAATAAATGTATTTTTTTATTCTTAATTTGTAATCCGTTCAGATTTAAAACTACCTACATAGTCTTTTTTTCCGGCTATTAATGATTTTTAGTATTTTATTTTCAGTTGAGTATATATTAAAAATTTACAAATATAAATATCGGTACCTGTAAAATCGGTAAGTATTTAGTATTTACCAATCTTACCCTCCAGAGTGCAAGTAACTTTACTGTCTACTATTATTAATATATTACTATTAATACGGTAAATACCTGGTGTGTGGTAACGATTAATACCCACCTTCTTTAGCTTATCAAACATTTATAATGTGGATACTGCATAATGTTGCTCCTTTATGACTTCTTCTCTTATTAATTATTTCTATATTGCATTAATTACAGCGTGGATTCATTGATAAATTAGTGTCAGCTACAATCTCAGTTTTCCTCTTTGTACATGTGTTATATAGTTGTATCAACCCACGAATATTTGAAAAAAATCGAGTTTTTGGAATTATAAATTTTCATTTTGATATATTATATTGAATACAAGAGAAAAATGTGGAACTATAATTATATTAGATAAATAATAAGCTTGAGAAGGATTCATGTCAAAGTATTGATTTAGACTATAATAGTTTAATATCAGCATTTAGATAAGTTACACAAGTAGGTAATAAAAAAAAGTATTAATATATATTATTTTAGTTTAAATAAATATATATATTTTTTTTATTAAATCTATCAATATAAAATTATTACAGCTTAACACTTACAATTAAATAAATATATATGATAAAAATTAAATATAATAATAAGTGTGTATTATTCATCTAGGTATAGAATGTTCGATTCCGGCCCTGTCCTATATAGACAAAAAATATTTCAAGTATTTATTCACATGTAAACTAGATTATAAAGTTAAATTACAAATTATACGTATATATATTTGTTTATAATGGTTTGCTAATGGATGTAATTAATATTTACCTAATAGTTCTTAAAATATGTTTGAAACATTTAATAATGGCCTTACATTTCCATCTATAAGGCTCTGAATTGTAGGTATTTATTTATAAGTATTCGGTACACAACATAATCAAATTATAATATTATACATCTACCTATATATAAATGCATTATTTATTTATATATTCATTTTTGGTGTATTTATTGTAATTGTGTCTTCAATTTTATCATATTTGGTACAATTTGTATTGCACCTCGCTTGGTTCTGAATGGTTTGTTTTGTTATTTACTATCAAATTTCAGACTTTTGCTGTAGGTACCTATATATATATATAGTTCCTAATAATGTATCTCGATTTCACAATATTATACTAAATCATTTATGTATACTTTTCTTAGTACTCATTAGTCATTAATCATTACTATTATTATGAGAAATCCCGAATCCATAACATTTATATACATTGAGTGTAACATTGATTTTTGATTAAGATTAGGTAGGTAAGTTAAATAATTAAGGAGCGCCACACCATAATTTGTTCTCTCTGTCTATCTCTCACGTATATATGGTAGGTACCACTTGGTACCTACCTATATATTGTAACAAAAATATTCTATATTCTCACAATTATAACCCTATCTGGTTCAGTTTAAGGAAAAGGGATCAAATATATAAAACTAGGTTTTATATAAAATAAGTATAATATTAAATATATCTTGTTTATTAACTGGATAGTTTTTTAATGTTTTCATTTTTAGTTATTGCCAAATGGTTAAAAATAAGAGAAATATTATTATTAATTTAAATTAAAGTACCTTTATCTATGTATTAACAAAAAATTTAAATATCATAAACTATTCAACCAATTCGCAGAAAATGCGTTCTTAAAATCGTAGAAATATATAATCATAAGACTATAAGAGCAGTCATGGAGTCTTGAAACATTTCTACATTTACCTAAACTTAAATCATTATTTTCTATACAAAATGAAAATGTCAAAATATTCGGATTAATTTAAGGCATTATAGGTTTTCAGATGGCTCCTAT